AGAATGTTTTTTTTTTTTTTTGCAATTTTTATTCTTTATTTGACCCCCATTTTCTATTTGCATTTATTTTTGTTTTTGTGATTAGATTTTTGACCTCTAGCGTAGGAGGTGTTGTAGAAAAGTCGAATGGACTCCCTGTACAAGTGGAATGACTCCACAAAGATTGGCGTTGCCTTGACGGGCCTGGGAGCACTTTTCACGTTTTTGGGTGTCATAATGCTTTTGGATAGTGCTCTTCTGACAATGGGAAATATTCTTTTTGTTGCCGGGGTAGCTTTGGTAATGGGTCCCAAACGCTTTCAGTCGTTTTTCTTCTCCCGTCGTCGAGCTTCTGGGTGCTTTTTCTTGGGCATGTTGCTCATTATATCGGGCTTTTGTTTCGTTGGTCTTTTGCTTCAAGGATTTGGTGCGCTGAATCTTTTTGGCAATTTTTTTCCGATGATAGCTCGCGTTTTAGAGTCGGTTCCACTTCTGGGCCCCATCATGCTCTCGAAGCCAGTTCAGCGTCTGCTAACTTTATTGGGTCTGCAGGACCACCGTAGCCGGAACGTTTGAGGCTGTTTGGTAAAGTGTCGTGGTAGAATTGGGATTTGCTGAAAAATATACTTGCGGGCCTGTTCGCAAAGTGGAAGACGAAGAAGAAGAAGGGGAATAACAAAGGCAAATAATAATAATGCTTCTTCCAGTAGTGTTTTTCAAAAAAACATTTTTTTTTTTTTTTTTTTTTTTTGAGAGTGTGTAAGTGCTTGGAAAGAAAAGGAGATTGAGGATAAGAGGATGGAAATTCAGCTGGGCGAAAAGGTGGCATTGCTTACGACGCATAAGACCTACCGTGATGATCTTGAAGGCGGCGTGAGGGCTGTGGCAAGTTATTTGCCTTTTTGTAAGTATGTGGCTACCTGTGCAGAGCACGGTCCCGTGCCCTCCACCTTCATTATTCGTAGTATTAGACGGGTTGCTCAGCGCATTGTGGGGTTGATTATGGAAGTGGAATGTGTTACACGCAGTGGAAAAATTGTTCAAACGGTAGATATTTGTGACTCCAATCCTGTTATTATTTTTCCTGTTGCCACCGTGAATGGTATTCGGTACGCTATACTTGTCAGAAAACGTCAGGTTTCCGTTGGTTGCAATTTTATTGTGGAGGCTTTATGTGGCGTTGAAAACAATGACGGGAGCTTCACGATACCGAATGATGAATTACTTATACCGTTAGGTGTTGACCTTCAAAAAACGCATGCACTCAGCTCAAAACGGTATACAATAGGGAATGAAGGGACTACGCCATACAAGGTGCATTCTGTCACTCTGGAAATGACGCCTGAGAGTCTTCAGAAACTTCAGAATACACCAAAGGATTTAGAGAATTCATTAATTGCGCTGCCATTGGATGAGGTGTTATCCACGGTAGGTGATGTTAAGGCGAGCTTGGCGGCGTCATTGCTGCTGGTGTCATGAGTCATTACAGACTATCTTTATTTCTTGCCTGCTCGTTTATTTATCATCCCGAGTATATGTAAATGTGTCATTTTAAAACGCGTACCCACACAAGAAAGGCAAAAAAACGAAAAACAACAACAACAACAAAAACGGAATGCGTCATTGGGCAAATTTTGCTTTGCTTATGTAAATAAATGTTGTACTAATTTTGTGTGGTGGAGGGGAGTGTTTTATCTAAATTGTTATTATTATTATCATTTTTTTTTTGTCTGTGTGTATGTGAGTGGGGGAGAGGATTGCTCCATTTATTGAACTTCATATATTCCTTTTTTCTTTACTCCTGTAAATATTCTAAAATACTACTACTACTACTACTAATAATAATAATAATAAATGGGATTTGCCTTTATTATGGGTTGCTGTTTGTTAAAGGGTTTCTTTATTAAAAAAAAAAAAAAACTAAAGAAAGAGAAAGAGAGAGAGAAAAGCGAAAGGCAACGACTGTTCAGGGTCATAAGGTGGAGAACATGAATCCACAAAATCGCTGGGAAAACGATGATGACAATGCTTGCATGCTCAGTGGAAATGCCGATGGCAGAGTCAGCATTCATGCATTAGTTTGTCGAACAATAAAAGTGGCATTGCCGACGGACTTCAGCAGTGTTCTTTGGATGGCTTCACAAATGGTTACCATGATTTTTGTGGGACACTGCCTTGGCGAGGATGGGTTGTCACAGTACAGTGCTGGGATTTTGGTATTTAACGTTACGGCCATGTCTATTATTAGTGGTTTGAATTCGGCTATAGATACGATAAGTTCTCAGGCTTTTGGACGGAATCCACGATCTTCTGTGATTGGCGAAACACTGCAGCGTGCACTCATCATTAATATGGTTTTGTGGATTATTATGAGCGTTGCCTTCCTTAACAGCAAACCCATTATGGTTTACGTTTTTGGAGAAGCCGTTGGAGATGGTGCTGCGAGGTTTTTGCGGATGTGCCCACTGTACTTATTGACACAGATTCTTACTGGAATTATAAGCAAGACGCTATATGCTCAGTGTCTTTCTTCCCTCGTTGTTTATTCTAACGCCGCAGCGGCACTTACGTCTCCTGTAGCTAACTATTTTCTAATATTTATGGGAATTGAAGGAGCAGCTTTATCACAGGGGTTGACTGGAATGATGTGTGCTGTTACCGATGTGTTGCTTTGCCTTTTTCACCCTGAAGTTGTCGTCCGGGAGGCGCAGTGGCCCTCCCCGGCACTTTGTCATAAATCTGGCTGGATACATTTTTTAAAAGTTGGGATACCTTCTCTGATCGCAGTGTGTTCGGAGTGGTGGGCCTTTGAAGTGCAGGCATTATTTGCTATTGCTATTTCACCCACTGCGTTGGCAGTTTTTGGTGTGGCATGAACATAATATCCGTGATGTTTTTCATAGCACTTGGGCTGAGTGTCTCAGCAAGTACCATTATTGGAAATGCGCTGGGGGGTCAACGACCTTTATTTGCATCACAGTACGCCAGGTTTATATTGATCTGCGATGTGATGATTGGTATATGCACTGCAGTGGCTATGGGCTACTTTGGAGGACACATTGCACGTCTTTACACAAATGTTCCTGAGATGGCAAGCGCGGTGGAGTCTGTGATGCCATTTGTCATATTGTGTCATATTGGAGATTCTCTTCAGTATTGTTTACAAGGCGTTTTTCGTGGTGCTGGACGACAGGAGCAAGCAGCGCGTGGTGTGGTCTTTACATTATGGCTCGTCGGTTTACCAGCGTCAGCGCTTTACGTTTTTGTTTTCAATTGGGGCGTAAGAGGTGTTCTCGGTGGCCTTTTGACTGGATTTTGCTTTGAAATTCCGCTCTTGTATTACCTGATGTCTCAATGGGATTGGAGGGTTCTGGCACAGGAGGCTCAAGTTTTATCATCTTTGCAAGACTTTGTTGTACTGGAGAGTGTTTTCCAGAACGACGAAAGTAGCGAGCACGACAGTGATGTTTCTGTAAAAAAGGAGGTTGAATTGGAGGCAGTTGTATACAATCGAACTGACTCACAGTATAAAGTACGTTAACATGTTTTATACTTTTACGTTTGTCTTTTTTTTTTTTTTTTTTTACCCCTTTCGAGATTTATGCATTTGTATAGGGTTTTTTTTTTGCCTTTTTTTTCTCAATGTGTTTTTCGTTTATGGCCGTTTTTGATACAAATATAAATATATGCATATATACCCATATATATATGTGCGTGTGTTGCGATGGTCTATTTATTATTTTTAGTGGTTTTTTTTTTCTTTTTTTTTTTTTGAGCACTACTTAACTTCTACCAAAGACAAAATTTTTACAGGTCTTACTTATATCTTGTGTTTCTTTTTATATTATTATTATTATTATTATTATTGGTCCTTATTGTGATGAATGAATTGGCGTCATTTTTTTTTTTCCCCACTGCTGTGGGAGCACTGACCCTTTTATTTTTTTATTTTTTTTTTAATTTTAAAGAATTTTTTTGTCTTTTTCCCTTTGTTTCCCTTAGTTTCTTTTGATTTGTGCTACTGACAAAGCGTGGGGGGAGGAGTGTATTGTCCGCCGCGATGGAGGAACGGGCCCGTCGTCCGCCCTCTGTTCTCACGAGTGAGGTCTACAACGAGGCAGAGACGATATTTACAATGCTTGAAAACAAGGAGAAGTTGGTTTCTTTTCTTGACTGCATGACTCTGTTGCGTGGTATGGGAATGAATCCTACTCAGACCGACATGGACTATCTCCGCGAACGAATGGCAGATCCTGTTTTGCGCCTTGAACAATGGCGTCGTGAAGAGGAGCTTAGGCGGGAGAAGGAGCGTCGCCGCGAGGAACTTCGGGAAAAAAGAAAGTCTTCTTCGGCATACTCACAAAAGAAGCCGCGAAAGTCTACCGTGGAGCGAGCTATGCAGGTAGGCGCTACGGAAGGTCAAGTGCCCCAACAAAATGTCAAAATCGTTCCCGTGGAAGAGATAAAAAACATTGATTGGAACATTTTTATATCATGTGCAGAGGAGATTTACCGTGATGCAGCAACCGAGCAGAAGGAAGTTTTGGGGGCGCTGAAAGTCTTTGATAAGGAGGGAGCAGGAGAAATGACAGTCGATGATCTAGTTCGGATTGTGACAACCAATGGCGAAACGGTGCTGAATCCCGTGGAGGTGCAACAGCTGCGTTCAATAATTCCGCCGAGGTGCAGTCTTGTGGAATTGGCTGCGCGTCTTCAGGGTACATATATACCACCTACCAAGGAAGAGTTGGAACGGAAGGCATTGGAGGAGATTGAACGACGACGACAGCAGGAGGTATCTGAGAAGAGGTTTTCGGACGATGCGATGCTGTTGCCTTGAAATGTAGATGTACGTTTATTTATTTATTTGTTTTTAACTATCTTTAAATATATATGGACGTATCTATTTTTGTTTTTGTTTTTCGTTCGTGACTGGGAAAGCCTTACTACTTTTTCCGTACACTCTACTCCTATTACAAGTTGCAGTAAATTCTTTTCTTTTTGTTGTTGTTGTTCTGTGTATGGGCGCCGGGAGGTCAGTTGTGCGGCGTTTAAGAAACACGTGCGATTATAATAAACACCGAAAATTGAAAAAAAAAAAAAAAGAAAAGAAAAGAATAACAATGGAGAAGAATTTAATTATAAATGTGACCTGCAATCCACCTGTCATTTCTATTCTTGGCCCTGTGAAAGAAAGTACCATTGAGAAGCTCAATGATGTGCTTCCGGGTGCTTGCACCACGACGAACACCGGAAAAGTTCATTTTGCGTTTGTACGAAAGGAGGAGCCACCACATTGGTACGGTGAACTTCAGACCCATTTTGCCAGCGAAGATATTGGTCAGTCCCAACTTTTTGTTTCGTTACTCGATGCGGTGGAGGAGGAGGGTATGTGGAAGCTGTGCGGCAGCAATGCGAACGTACATGATTATGACAAGGCCACGCACAAGTTTTTTTTTGTTCGTGCGTAGTTGTTTCATTGTGTTCCCTGCATTTTGAATAATGAGAGATGTATAATGTCACCATTTGCCATAAATATTTTATTTCTTGAAAGATGGTGGTGGAGGGAATCAGAAAACAAGAAAAATAGTTATATATGTATATAGTGGAAATAAAGGGTTTACGGGGTCAAATAGAGCGAGATCTCATGATGTCCCATTGGGCTACCTGTCACTCATTTTTTTTTTCTTTCTGTTTCTAATTTATGTGGACGACGAGGCTGTTTATTTTTCCTCTGTCTGGTTTTACCCATTTTTTTTTTTTTTTCTTTTGATCACGGGCGTTTTATTGTTCGTTTTCCTTTTTTCTTTCTAATGATGATAGCTTTTGTTGGTTCATTTTGCGTGAGGGGTTCTTTTCCATGCGGGGACGGGTTGTGCCAAATGAACGGTGAGGATGTACGCAACTATCCGGCTAGAGTGCTCCTGGCGCACGATGATCGCCTCGTGCAGTTTCTTGATGCTTCCGTCTGCCAAGATTGGAATGCCGCCGTGGAGGAGTGGCAAATGAAAAAACAAGAAGAGATTGCGTTCCAAAAAAAGGCGCGAATTCCCACATGCGTTGACGTTCCCTCCACAAGTAAAACAGGGTTGTTCAGTGATGAGGAATTCTTTTTTCTGACGAAGCAACTGGAAAATATTACGGCTGCTCTATCCGCTCATTCTGCAACAAAAGCGGGCGTTCATTATGGGGAAAATGACTTTGTATATTCACCAAATGAAGTTCCGGATTTGTTTTTACTGGATCCCGCAATGCACTTACTTCCTCTCGATGGGGAGAAGAGAAGGAAATGCCAGGAAGCGAGCGAGGCCTATCAAAGAGGAAGTTATGGCAAGGCTGCCGAGATATTCTCCTCCGTAATTGACTCTTGTCTGCCAAATATGTTGAATGCCGCACTTATAAGTAACCGTGCCGCGTGCTACTTGCGTGTGGAGAATTACAAACTTTCTCTTCGCGATGCTATACGTTCTTACGAAATGGATAATGATTATATCCTTGGTGTTTGCCGAGCCTTAAGATCTCTCATATGCTGCGGTAGGGTTGCAGAAGCAAGACAAACTATCGAAAGATTTAGGCGAAACAAATGCGGTTACAACTTTGAGCGCGAAATGACTGATATCTCCTTGTATGAGAAGTACGGTGCCTTTTTAGAGGGGAATGAACATTCGACAGCCTTAATGCATTTGAATGAGTTGCTGGAACGCGTTCCATGTGCCACTTTTGAAGTGCTAAAGGTCCAGCTTCTTGCCATTGAGGAAGGTAATGAGGTGGCTTTGGCTCATGTAAATAACACCCTGCGCATCTACACGGACTTTCCAGAACTTTTGTATTGGCGCGCACAACTCTGCTTCCTTGAGAGTGCCAGCATGGCAGAACTACAGGCTGTTCTTCCTTTTTGTAGTGTAACTGGCTCTACTGATTCTACGGGACGCTTACGCCAAGTACTTCAGCGTGTTCAGTATTGCGTTGATTTATGCAGGGAAATGGAGTTCTTGGTATCCAAGAGTGAATGGATGCGTCTCATTGAATTGTGTTCAAAATCCGTAAAGACCCTATTTATTGGTGATCGATTACGTGCAGGGATTTTGGCTAAGCGTGCGCGTGGATTTTATGAAATCAAGCATTATTATGAATGCATGGATGATATTGACGCTGCCATACGAAACATAACATCCGGTAATGTACGTGCGGAACTTCTGCTTCTTAAGGCTCTTTCTGAAGAAAAGCTTCTTCGATGGTCGGATGCGATTCGAAGTGCCGAACTAGCTATGAGGGAGCATCGTACCATCGAGACTGTCGAGGCTTGGAAGCGTCTCTGTGATCGAAAAAAGGAGTACGAGTGGCGAAAACAGCAAAAGCAGAGGTTCCATTCAGGATATCAAGACGGAGAGGAGGGAGAAGAGGGAAACGATTCAAAGGATGGAAGTGCTCCAGAGAGAAATGGCTTCCCCCGAACTCATGCATCGGGGTCAGGGGAAAATGAAAGAAGAAAACAACACACGAGGGGACCGGACCATCATGTCGTCACGCAATTGTACGCACAATTGTCACTTCCCACAGGCGCGAGTGCGGAGCGAGTGAAAAGGAGCTACCGTGCCTTGGCAATGCGGTGGCATCCAGATAAGTGGTGCAGTGCGTCTGATCAACAGCGAAAGGAGGCTGAAGAAAAGTTTAAAATTTTAAAGGCAGCCTATGAAGAACTCATGTGTATTGTTGGTGGTTAGCAACCTTGTTTGGCTCCTGCATAATTTTGCGTTTATATTCATACTCTTGTTGTGGCTTGCTTTCTTCTTTTGCTTGTTGTTTGAAATGAATCCGTGGTAGGGGCGATGCAATTTTTTCTTGCTGTCGCTCTTTTATATATATATCTATATATTTCCTCTTGACTCCTGTTGACGGATATGAAAAGTGTCTTTCATTGGCGGAGCAGAAGCTGCATCACAACAGTTGCCGTTCTTTTTTTTTTTTTTCTGCGGAAATAATTGCAGGTGTTTCAAAAAAAAAAAATAAAAATAAATAAATAAATATAAATAAATAAACAAAAGTACCCTGATACACTCGCAAGTTATCAACGCAATTTGGAAAAGAATGGGTCTCTTGACAACGGGCGGCAAACCTATGCGGTGGGGAACCGACGAAAATAACCGCGCCATTCCACATGTATCCTCGCATGGAATTCAACAGTTTTTGACAATGCGAGCGGGAAAAAAAGAAGAGAAAAATTTCCCTTTTTATTGGGGAGAGGAGGTGGAACATCAACTTGTGCGTGTGGAGGGAGGGAAAGTAAAACTTTCATTGAATGCTGCGGATGTGATTGAGCAACTTACAAAATCGTCTCAAAAGGATAATGCGGTGTGGCATCAGGAATATGGAAGCTTCATGGTGGAAAGTGTCCCTGGTGTACCGTACACCCTTGAAGTGGATTCTTTGTGCTCTGTTGAAGGGAATATTCGACGGAGATGTGAGCTGTTGGACAGTGTCGCTGGTGAAAACACATTCTCCTTGACATTAGTGACCTTTCCTCTTATGGGCGTTGGCGATTTTATAACTTCTGATAGTAAAGAGGTTCCATATTCCCGCTCACTTTTTGTACCGGATGTTTGTATCAATCAGTCGCATCCACGTTTTACGAATCTCACGCGGAATATTCGTCTGAGACGCGGTCACAAGGTATGCATTCAAGTTCCAATTTATATTGATACTTATACGATGGAGAAAACAGTGGATCCTCGACTGAATATAGACCGCACACCCCATAATATTGATATTGACTGCAGTTCGACAGAAGTTACAGAAGCCAAGGGAGAGAAATTCACTATTAATGATTCGGTAATTTCGAAAGAGAAGGAAAACAACAGCAGCAATAATAATAATAATAAAGACAGTAATATTAGTTCAAAATATCCATCGGCAGAGGAAATGACCCATTTTTATACTCCTGCCACACATTATTACTATGCACAGTATTTTAAGAAGTCACAGATGGAACTTGTGAAGCAACGTTATGATGCATGTCCGTGCCCAGTACCTTCAGTAAGCCATCCATGTATCTACATGGATTGCATGGCTTTTGGTATGGGTTGCAATTGTTTGCAAGTCACTATGCAATTGGAAAATGAAACCCAGGCGCGTCACGTATACGATCAGTTAGGGGTTTTATGTCCATTGTTTCTCGCAATGAGTTCATCGACACCATTTCAAAAGGGTATTCTATGCGATTCAGACGTTCGCTGGCTAACGATTGCCGCCTCAGTTGATGACCGCAAAAGGGAGGAGGTTCCACACATCATCAAATCACGCTATGACTCATTTTCGGTTTTTGTTAGCTTAACGTTGCCAAACTTGGAGGAGTTTAACGACGAGGAGTTTGTCATTAATGATACTTATCTTGAGGTTCTCAAAAGTGCGGGTGTAGACACGCGTCTTGCGAAGCATGTTGCGCACCTTTTTATTCGAGACCCCCTGGTGGTCTACGATCAGATGATTGATATTGATGATACTACACACACTGAACATTTTGAGAACATTCAAAGCACAAACTGGCAGTCTGTTCGTCTTAAGCCACCTTCCCTTGATGGTAATACTGGCTGGCGTGTAGAATTTCGCATTATGGACGTGATGCCAACACCATTTGAAAATGCAGCCTTTTCTGTATTTGTTCCTTTGCTTGCCCGTGCTATTATCAAATACAATCCATTGTTTTACACCAAGATGAGCATTGTTGATGAAAACATGGGTTATGCGCACAATCGCAGTCCTTGCAGGCAAAAGTACGTTATGCGACGCGATATATTTGCGAAAAATATTTCTACTGATCCCTCTGAGAACAGTGAATTCACCGTTAATGAAGTCTTCAATGGAAAAGATGGGGAATATTATGGGTTGATTCCTCTTGTCCGACGATACATGGAGGAGGAAAACATGCTTAGTTCCACACTCGAAGGTTACCTTTGCTTCCTTTCCATGCGAGCTGCAGGAGAAATTCCCACAGCAGCAGAATACTTGAGAAATTTTGTTATGCAGCATCCTGACTATGGGCATGATTCTAGATTAACGGAGCGGATTGCCTATGATTTGGTGCTGCATGTACGGAAACTTGCCTCTGGGGAAGTCAAAGACGATCTCTTTCTCCCCATGAACAAATTTATGCCAAAAAGATCCCGTGAGTAATTCGGAACTGATGACCTCTTCTTTCTCTCCTTCCCACTCAAAAGCACACCAACAGTTATTATTATTTAATTAATTATTTATTTATTTACTTACGAGCGAGGAAATTCAGTGCCCCTTCTTTCGAATTAATGGGAAATTCAATTTATTTTATTTATTTTTTTTTTTTTTGTTATATCTGTTACAGGAATAGCTTAAGGAAATGAAGAAGCAAATACACAAATAAAGAATTTTAGTGGCCTTTTTTGCATTTGCATTTTTTTTTTTTTTTGCCGCGCGGGGTTGGGCGGGTGAATTCTTCACGAAATTATTTCTGCTTTGAAATTGAGCTTAATTTGTGGGTGCAAATTTTTTTTTTTGTGTGTGTGTGTGCGTGAGTGGGGGATTTTTTTATGAATCTTTTTTTTTTTTTTTTAAAAGGAAATCATCAGAAAATCAACTCTAAGGGCCAAAAAAAAAAGGAAAGCAAACGAATGAGCCGCAGGAAAAAAGAAGAGAAGCATTTGACGGTAGCCAACAGAGTGCCAATTGATGGTACCAAGATTTTATTTCTTGACTGCGACGGTGTTGTGTCCCCCTTTGGCGGGAAGATGTTTGCGCCCAAGCAAATGTCCCTATTGCGAACTATTATTGCGGAGACAGGGGCCAAAATAGTCCTGAGCACCTCGTGGCGGATGTCGGAGTTTGGGCGGGAAGAAGTGGCAAGGCAACTGGCCACGAATAATATGCCGAACTATATTTCGTGCACGCCGTATTTTCATGACAAGTCTCGGGCGGTGGAAATATTATCGTGGATTGAGACCAACAAGGAACGGTACAATATTGTAAACTTTGTCGCACTTGATGACATAAATTTACCTGCCACGGCGCCCAATCGAGCTTTTTTTGCTCGTCATGCTATTACCACAAATGCATTCACTGGTCTCACAGAGGCCGATGCCAAGGAAGCAATAAGACTCTTAGATGATAGCAATAACATTGTATGACCACAGAACTGCTGTAAAGAGGAACTCTATGGATTGCACTTTTTTGTTGATATTCATTCTATGTATATGATTAAACCGCCGTACTTGGATTGTTGTGCCTCAAAACTTTTATTTTCAGTGATATAAATTTTTGAACGAGGAGGGACACAAAGTCGGTGAACCCTTGACATTTTGACGTCAAGGCATTATCTTGTGTAATTGAGAGAATTGTTCAGCTCTTTGAAAATAATTTACGTCGGTATTTTCCTGCTTTATTGTGTAGGTACAATAACCATTTCTCCGTATGAAGAGACCTCCATGTGCGTTCAATTGTTTGTTGCTTTGTGGCATGCAGTTATTTTTAGATTTTCTAAAAGTTTTGTCTTAAAAAAAATTTTTTTTTCTTGGAATTTTTTTTTTTTTTTTTTTTTTTGCGGCATGCATGTAAGTTGTGGGAGAGCAGTCTTCACTTTGTTCGATATTGCTGTAGAGGATTATTTGGTGATTTCCCGTTTATTATTGATTTTTAAAATATTGGCTGCGTGAAAATTGCTGCAATCTGCAAAAGCCTCATTTTTCCCTTTTTTTTTTTTTTTTTTTGGTTCATTTTTTTAGGGAAGCACTTCTCCGGAACTTTCTTTATTGAGGCGCACAGTGTTGTATATGGCTGTTGAATTGGTTGTGGATGCCGCGTGCGAGCGCCTGTATGAGGTGATTACCATGGCACTGCGTAAAATGTTTTTGGATGCCAAGTGCATACATGCCAGGGAGGATCACAATATCATTCCGAGTACGGTTTTTGTAAATAATGACAGCACGACCTCTCTGCTTCTACTTCTCATTACGTTTGACGATTGGATGCTGATGGTGCGCCACAATTGTGTTTGTAATTATTTGAAGGTCGTATACGATGCATCAAATTGTCCGGTGTATGTGGTAATACTTGGACAGTTAACAGGACATAGACAGTCGCGTTTTTGGGAAGAGGTTTCTTGCCTATGTGCTGATGATTCATTTTTGTCCATTTTAGTTGGATTTGACATTGTTTCTTCTGTTGAGCAATTGGCCGAGGTTGCTGTGGCCCATGGTCTCAAGGCAATTAAACAACAAAATTTGGAAGGAGATCCAATCGTTCGGGCGGAAGGAAGACGAAAATGCGATCCGACGGACTTTCACGCTCTTTATCTTGACATGCTTTTGGAGATATCATCTGTTTCCGAACGACGGGCTTCCACCATCGCCGGAACTTTTCCATCCATGTTCCATCTTTTAGAATTTATTGATTCGGGTGCGCACAATAGGGTTCAAGCAGAGGAGTACTATGAGAAGAGAGCTACTAGTGTGCTGGATCCCTACATTGCCGAGGTACTCTCTACAGACTACAACACGACGGAAGCGCAGGAGATGATGAACGGCTTGTTTGATGCGAGTGCGGGGATTTTCTCTTAGAGCCATATATATATATATATATATATATATTGTATTATTATTTTGTTTCATGGTATTTTTCTTCTGCGTGTATCACGCATAAAACTACATCCAGCTGCCATTTCAGCAGCGGCCTTACAATCGTCCCAACTGGAGTGTAGATTTTCATCTTCTTTATTTTCTTTTTTGTCTCTATTTTTTTCTTTCTTTCTTAATTTGGTATGTACATGTAATATACATGTGCCTCTTTTCTATTTTGATGGTTAGTGGCGTCCTTCGGTAGAGTTTGAATGCGGCGATGGCCCAGCATTGCGAAGAGAATCCTACCGAGACGCAAGATGCGGACGGATCTCTCATCGATGTCATCAATTGCGTTTGAAGAATGTTTTTTGCTTCAACACGAGTTATCCAGTGGGCCAAATCTTTTTTTTCTTGGCGGTGATGGTTCTTTTTTGGCTCCTTCAAACTGTTATTATCCTCTTATCGTTGCTACGCTACATCAAAGTAAGTATTCTTCTGACACTGTGGAGTTTCTTTGGCCTTTATTGCTATTGACGTTACACACTACCGATGTTTCTCTTAGTTTATCAGAGGCACATCTTTTTAGTGGTACTTCTGTTATGGGATACCATTGTGTTCGAATTGTTGTTGATAGACTTAAAAGACTCTCTTCAACGATGTCGTTCCACGAGGATTTTACATGCATACGGTTGGTGATGTCGCTTGTGGCCTCCCCTTTATGTTTGGATGACTCCTTTTTGGTTGAAATAAGAAACTTTCATCGCCCCATTCCGGGCTATATTTTGCGGTTGATATTGTCGTTGTCTGCTACCCCCTTCATTCTTGATTATATCATGGATTGCGAGTTGAGAAAATACTCTGGAAAAGGCATTGGTCCCGGTCCTTTTGTTGAGTGCTTGAGTGGGCTCTTGTGCAATGATCATTTCTTTTCGTCTGTTCACTTCGAAGAAATGCATGCCATTGCGATGAATATCGTAAAAAACATTGGTCCATCCTTTGACTTTTTATCAATTCAATGGACTCCTTTACTGAGCAAGTTAAGTCGTGTTTATATGCGGCAATATGAAGGGGAGTCTCTTGCCATTTTGCATTTTAAACTTCTTGAAATGGTACCTGCTTTGGAAACTAAAATGCCATTGGCGTATCTTGTTAGAGTTTTAGGCAGCCTGGTCGACGTATGCGCAGAGAGGGAAGATACGCGTAGTCTGTGGCGCACAATAATTGACGTAGCTTCCCTTGCAGTACGACTTCATGGCAACTCACAGGGAGGGCTTCAATCTATATGGAAGCCATTTTTTAAAGCGGCTGTGACGTCCAAACCAACTTATTTGAATTACGAACGAGTTCTCGAAGCTTATCATGTTTGTGCATTTCAAGGGAATCCGTTAACATTGGATAGGGCGGCCTTTTCTCAGGTTGTTCGTTTTTTGGTTGGCTCTATAAACCATCTTTCCCTGGAGGAGACGTCTGCTTCCATGCGTAATTTTTATTGTTTTTTGAAGGAGCATCCAAGTGTCAATTTTTTGTGGGTCTTGGACAGTCTTCTAAGCTTATTGAGCGAAATATGGAAAATTCATGGGGAAATTGCATCCGTTATTGTACAGGAATTTATTAAAGCCCTCCAAGATGATTATTTCCCTTCCATGCGTTTGAGTGGGGTGCAACTTTGTGATAATCCACAAATCCGTCCTTTGCTAGAAAAGTTTTGCGTTGTAAATAAGACGGAGTTTTGGTGGGAATGCGGTTGTGGAACGCAAATTCCGGCTTGTGCAAAAAAGTGTTTAATGTGCTTGCGAAAACGCAATGCGGCTTGGACCTGTGTTACATGTGGGGCGGAGTACAGAGGTACAGATGTAGAAAAGAGTTGTATGTGCGGTTCAGAAAATCCACGACGACTCAAAGCAGCTAGCATGGGTCTTGAATTGTGTATGAATTGTGGTGATGTAGTATTATCTTCTAGTGGTTGCATCAAATGTGGGAATACATATTGTGAGGAAATTGCAACAAGGGAGTGCTCTTTTTGTGGAAAATCATACAGTCGACGAGCAGTCTGTTGTCCGTTATGCTATGCGGCGAATGAAGACAAGAAACCCCTTTTATGGCGTTGTGATGAATGTGAAGAGTATAATCACTGGACATGGTCCAAATGCCAACGGTGTCCTGGAAGACGAAGAGTTGGCTGCATTGTTACACCACTGGAGCCGTGGGTATGTGGATGTCGTAGGCGAAATCATCCTTGCATCACTGGCTGTGAAACATGTTCCCGTGCCATTTATGGTGCATATACGTGCAATTTCTGCAAATCTGTCTCAAGTAAACATTCAGTTTTCTATTTGACTCTACAATCCATAAAGATACGTGTGATTGCGTGTCAACATTGTGGTCATATTCACCCACGGGATCAAAATGTTCTTTGCTCTCCATACCTTCAACGCCAATGTCATCAGTGCGGAAAAAAATACCTTCGATCGAATCTGCCTTTGGATAGCCACTGTGAGTTTTGTAATGCATTTCTTCGTTACAATGAACTGAATCCTTTTAAGTGTAATTCTTGTGAATCTAAAAGCATACAGACCGGCTTTCACTGTGTCTCCTGTTTGACCCCACGATCAGACTTACAGTTTGATGATGTTTACGTCTGGAAGTGCAGTCAAGAAATCGTGTCTCAGACAGCGCTTGTAAGTTCCCATGTCTGCGGCCATTGGAATTATAGTTGGCTGAGTAAGTGTCGTTTTTGTGGTGGGGGGCGTGCGCAAAGTGTGTATGAGAGCAGAGTACGGTGTTCTTCGTGGGTATGCACTGAATGTCTTCATCAGAATTTACCCACAGATGTTTTTTTCTGTTCACGATGTAACACAGGGCTTCGGTTGATAGAGAACTGTTTCATTTGCGGTATCCCTCACCTAAATTTGACATGTGCCCCAAATATTTTGGATGATACATTATGAGGAAAAATACCTCACAATGTTATATATATGTATATATATATATAATCCGTGTTTCCTTTATTTTCTATAATTCATGGTTCTTAATTATTCGATTTTGGCGTTCTTTTTTTGTTTGTTTGTTTGATGAGGTTTACGTATGTTAAAATTTTTATTTTTTTTTGATATTTGATTGCATTTCCTTGTATTTTTGCTTGCCGAAAGTGACTATATATATATATATATATAATATAATATATATATAGTCTTGTATAGGCTTATATATATAATTATATATATATATATATATATAATATCAAACAAGACCATGCAACCATTTGGTCAGCCACAGATTGTGCAGAATCGTGGGTATGGCGGCTACAATGCTTATAGCCATTCGGGCTATCCTTCCCAACAATTACATGCTCCTGCCCAGTACCATGCGCAAAGTGGTTATTATTCTCAGTATCCACAAGGAACGTATAACCCAACACTTTTTCAGAATTTCCAAGGCACCGTTTCAGGTCAAGTAAATCGTGGAAGATCCGTCTACGCTGGGGGGCGTGGAGGTGGGGGCTATGGACGTGGTGCTTACACTATGGTCATGGGGGGTGACTACGGCCGAGGTGCGTTTGGAGTTCGCTCTCA